TCTTCAAAAACAATACAGGAATTGGCATCTATGAAAGTCAGGTTTAGAACTTCAATATTGTTGAAGAACTACAAAGTTCTCTGTATGCAAGTGAGGATATTGGTTCCTTCAAGTTTAAGCCAAAATTAGACTACTTCATGTGGGAAAATACGGTACTTAGGAAATAGAGCACAGCAGACCACCATAATGAACTAATTAATGTAGCTAATTAATTCAAGAGAAATTTGACAGAAAAAAAATAACAAAAGTGAAATACACCCATGTATTGTGTTTATGGGTTATTACAAATCTATTAATGCACTACAAATTGAAACATACTGCTTATTGCCATTGTAAAACCAGCAAATCATGCGAGAAGCATCTTTGTTGATGCCTGTATTCACATTTAAAATACATGCTAAGGGTGGGGGGGGATCACTATATAGCATTTTTCAAAAGGCTCTTGATGAATGGTGACAATCTCTATACAGTACACAGCTATACTGTACTTTCTAATTTCTGCATCAGCAGAAAACATTTTCATTTGACAAAATAGCTCTGGTGAGTTCCAGCACTATCTAGCTTTACAGAATTTGAGTCACTGATACATTAAACTTCCACTTCAAATCTATACTTACTCTGTCATAAGCCAGTCAGCAACAGAGGCAATATAGACACTAGGTGGACCATTGTTCAAGCTGAAATACATTAATTCTATACTGGAATTCCTCATCAGTGATTTCTCCCACTGAAAGATCAACTGAATGACTAGATTCAATCCACACACTGGTTACACAGGAATATTATGATGTTCGAGACAGTGATGCAAGTGAGTTACATGTCTTTTTAGAATTCTTGAACTGAGGAGTGGATGTGGGCAAAACATTCTAGCAGTCTTTCATAACGCTTTTCAAGCAAACTGTTTGGCATACAGTACTCCATGAATTTCTCCCTTTTAGTGGCCTAGCAACGAAGGACTCAATGTTAAGTGTTTGGCACAAGAAGGCCATAGGAAAAGGCTGACTAAGATGGGAGGTTGAAAGCCAGCCAGGTGAACTGGCATTTCAATCCGTCCCAGGGGGCACCTAACAAAAATGGTAGGACCGCGCACCCAAAAAATTCCAGCAGGCCCATAACTCGGGAGGAAGAATCAGCTACTGCCACTACATGCTATTTATGCGATAGCGGAAGGTGAAAGCACCTTACTTTTGAGAAAGGTGAGCACAGGAGAGTGGGCTTTCCTCACAGCATCCGTGCAAAAGGAAATGGGGTCAGCCATCCTCCTTTCACCAGAAAGTCTGCAGGGAGGAAGCAGAATAACCTGCCCAGTTCAGACAGCCTGGTATGCAGGTGAGGCGGAGGGACACGTCAGAGGTATGTGAATACTTGCTACACCTGCTCACCTCGCCAGGGAGGCCTAAGCCAGCGCTGCCACCATGGGCTCCGCAGCCGCCCTTCGCTGCTGCCGCCCCCTCTGGCAAAGCGGCCCGTCCCCTCAGCAGCCCGCTTTCCCTCATCCGTCCGCCCGCACCGGGTCTCGCGCATGACGTCAGACCGGTGGGCGGGGCATTCGGTACGCTGAGGAGACGGGAGATTTTTTCGGCGAGCCCAGGCCCTTCCTTTTGTGACGTCACGAGCACAACAAGAACCTGGCCCCGGCTGGGCTGAGCTGAGTGGCCGGAAACCCGGGGGCTCGCGCTGACATCCCGCTTAACCTGTTGCTGCCGCCGGAGAGAGGACGGATGCAACCAGGAGCAGCGCGCGCCGCCAAGGGCCGGAGCAGCAGCAGCAGCCATGCCTGCTGTCTGCGGCCGCGATTCACTGCCATGGCCAAATGAGCCTCCCGGGTCTCGCTTTCCCCACGAGCCTGCCCTCTTCTCTCTATCTCCCTCCCCGCCACCCCGCTCTCGTAACATGACAAGCCTGAAACTTGTGTGAACACACGAAACGCTGTCTGGCTTTTCCAGTATAGCGTGTCTTTCCAAACAGGTCCTGGAGAGAGAGGAGTGGCACCACTTCTCTTCTTTTTCCCCAGCAAGCTGCATGAACGCGATAGAGTTGCATTGTTCAGTCGTGCAGACGTAAGAGTATCTAAAAACAGATTTTGGCTTGAAAAAGGAAAACACGCCGCGAATTCCCCACCCCTTTTCCTGCTTTGTTTCGCTGCACTGGAAACGTGCGCAAGTCACAAGTCGCGTGTTCATCAGGGGGCTTCCTACAGAAACAATCCCTTTTTGACAAAAATACTTTTGCTTCAGATTCTCAATTCCTCTGCAATGCGGATGTATTTCTAATTCGCAAGTTCGTTGGCGAATTTTCTTAAAAGTTACCCATTGTTATCTGGAGTCACGTTTCTCAAAAAAATACATTTCCAGACGTCAAAAATAGGAGGAAAAACTCTGTCGAAGTCTACTGTGACTTTATGAAGTATTTATTAAAATCAACGGGGAAGTCAGAAGAACACCCCCACCATCACGACACAGGCGCCCCATAACAAATGTTCTGCTTACAAACGATAAACACACTACACTGTATGCAACTTTTTGTCATCTTGAGCCACTTATATTCAAGAAAGGTATTCTAACCAGAGTAAAAGCCGCATTTGTTTTTGTTTTTAAACCACCATTAGGACTGCCGGCACATCTGACTAATCCACTCTGTTGCTGCAAACTTAAAATAACTCCCCCATCCCAATGAAACCATGGCTAGAGCCAAGAAAAAAAGGCACGGTCTCAGCATTTTCTACACATTTCTACAATTGGAAAAGGTTATCCCGTGACTGACTACACGATTCGAAGGCACACACCATTAGCTAGATCGTTGGCTCTTCAAATTTCAAAGCATCTTTCTGAACGGTAAACCAATTTCTCCGTGAGCCCACACAAAATTAACAAAACTCCAAGCCATTTCCCCGAATATTAAAGTCAGGCCTTGCAAATACATTCCTTGTAACATGATCCCCAACTGGCTTGGTTCTATTGCAAGCTAGATAAGCCAACGATCACATACACGAGATTTGATGGGGGAGTAGAAGAAGCAAGCACGCCATAACCAGATATTAGATTTCAAGTTAACAGTCTCGCCGAACAACCACAGTGCCTTCTCAAACCCCTAAATATATGTTATAATAATGTGATCATTTGCATGCAAAGTGAAATATTAGTAAATCCGCTTGAGAAAGCAGTTTAGTTGCATTATCGCAGCAGCCCCCCAAGCACCGTGTCTTTCATCTTCTAAAACTAGATTATGATTGTGTCATTTGAGGTCAATACATTTATTCAGTTGAGGTATCGCTACACGAATCTCGTTTTTAAACCCGCTTTACAGTTAAAAGAGGCTTTTGAGAATCCCCCCTCCCCCCATTCCCAGCGGACGAAAAGCCAACATTTCTAGATATTCTTTAAAGCCACCGCTAGCTGTAAACTTGACATTCATGAACATTTCCAAAAAAATCAAAGAGATAAATGATCCGGTATAACCACTTACGTATTTCTTTTGAATTATATTCCTCTTGGGTCTTTCTTTGCTCATTCTGATATCCAGATTCTGATTGCAAATGGGGGAAATTGCTTCATGAATTAAAAGCCGCAACCAATTTGGAGGAAAAAAAATCCCCTTTTTTTTGTTTCTTGTTTGTAGTGGTTTCTTGTAATCCGATTTTCTTCACACACAATACAATCCTCCTTGCAATAAATCCAATATGTTGGGTGGTGGGGTCAAAAAAGAAGAAAAAATACAAATGTAGAGCAAACCACCAAAAAAAGAAAAACCACTTTAGAGATTCATAATGGAAATTTTACACCCTACAGACACACAAAACCGCCCTTGAGGTCCTCTTTTTCTTTTTCCCAGGCCACCAAAGCGATCCGTAGGCCCGTAGTGTCCGAGGCGTAGTTTACATCTTGAAGAGCGGAGAAAAGATTTGAAAGGGGAAGGTATTTTTTTTAATGTTGGAAGTCACGTTTCTACTGCTGCAGCACAGACAACTCCAGCAGCACTGAAGGCTGCACTCACACACACGCACGCACACACACCCCGTAGGAGTCTGCTTCTTCAGTTTCCCCCTCCGCCCCACCAATGAGAGCAGCTAGCTCTCCAGCAGCAACTTTAAATGGCCCGATTTTTAAAAAATATTATATTATGTATATAGATAGGCAGGCAGGCAGGCAGGCAGACCGGAGTAAGGGGGGGCGGGAGGGGAGGAGGGGGCGGCAAAGAGAGAGAGAGAGAGAGAGAAGGGTTAGGGCTTCGCCTCAATTCTTAACGTGGTCCCAGCCGCAAAGAGATCACTCCGGCTGCATCCCCGCAGCTGCAAGCCCAGCCGTGCCGTGCCGCTGGGCAGCCGTGCCCCGGTCGTCCTTCCGCCCTCACCCGCCCGGGGGCCGCTCTCCAGCCGGAGGCGCCGAGCGCAGCTGATGCCGCCGGGGCGAGGAATCCCGGTGCAGAATTTGAGGACAATCCCTGCGCCCGCGACACGCTCCGCCGCCAGCTCTTCTCCTTTCTGTGTCTGCAAAGCTCTTTAATTGTCCTCCCTTGCCCTCCCTCCCCCTTCGCCTGGCGAGCAAACGCGACCTCCTCGTCCGGCTACATCTCCCGCTCTCCGTGCGTAAAGGGCCCGGGTCGCGGTCCTTGGGGGGGGGGGGGCTCTGCCTCGCGTGCCCGGGAGCGGAGGAAGCAAGGAGGAGGAGGAGGAGAGGGAGAAGGAGAAAGAGGAGGAGGAGGAGAAGCAGGAGGAGGAGGAGAAGCAGCAGCAACAGCAGCAGCAGCTCCGCGCACGGTTGCGTTCGAATCGCCCTTGGTCTCCGGAAAAGTTGTAGTCCCCTCACCACAAAATGGCTACAATAATTGCAGGGAGAAACTACAAGTCCCAGGCTGGGCGGCGCGCGCAGCTGCGGCAGGGATGGCCTGATTGGGCGCCGGGAGAGGGATTGTCCTCGAGGCACCTTTCTTTCACCTCCCGCCCCGCCCCTTTCGGTGCCAAGCCTGGGCGCAAGCGGAGGCGGCTCTTGCGCGCGTGCGGCGCCGTGACGAGTCCGGCTGCGCTTGCAGCGAGGTCGTGGCTTCGGCGAGGAGGCGTCAGGCAAGGGGGAAACGGGGCTGCCTGGTTAATATACATAATGTATATGCAAATACATATGCAAATATATGTGTGTATGTATATTTATATATATGTATGTATATGTATATACGTATATGCATATATATATATATATATATATATATGCATATGTATGTATGTATATGCATACTGTATATATATATGTGTGTGTGTGTCTCTCTCTCGTTTTATATTTCGTATTGCGTCCATGCGGTTTAAGTAAAGGGGATGCTGGAGACAGAAGAGGCGAGGGAGTTGTGGGCTGTTCGATTGGATGACTATGGAAAAAAGAGGAGGCCATGCCAGCGCGGGCGCGGATGAGGAGATCAAGGGCAGGAAATGCAACCTAAGAATCATCGATAGCATATGGAGGAACTGAGGAAAAAGTGAAAAAGTTCATAATGGGGTGGGGTGGGGGACGCTGGTATGGAGTTGCCATGGGAAACTGACAGGTATCCATATGTACAGCCTGAGCCCCCGCCCCTCATCTCTCCAGTTGCAACGAAGCATGCACAGGGTCACACCCTGGCCCAGGCAGAGAATGGGTCTTATTTGACTGGAGGAGGAGAGAGAAAATCGTCTGAGAAGGATGCGCTTTTCCTAGAAGGGGAAAACCCAAAAGGGCCACATTCTAGAGGCAGGCTTTTTCTTGGGAAAATAGGGATTACATTGCCTTTTAAAAAGCAGCAATAAAAAGAGCATTTATCTAAATTACAAGCTGGACAGAAAATACCTCTTGCTGGTTGCTAAGTAGTTGTTGGGAGACTACAGCTTGGGTTTCCAGCCGGTGTTACCTCAGGACAATAAGCCTGGTTTATAGAAAACTTGCTCAACATGTCTCCAAGGTATTCTAAGGTCATACCCCTCCACCTTTCTCTAATGCTGTAGGAAACCCTGCTGTATCATATTGTGTGTGTGTGTGTTTAGCTTGTATATAGCATCAGGCAGGCCAGTGGAAAGGGCATATTTTAATGAATGTATTTATGTAAAAGTTTCCAGGGCTTTTTGCTACCAGTTTTAACATGCTCCATAGTAGCAATCTCGGATAAAAAAATTAAATAAAATTGGTATGGATACCAAAAACACCTTTAATAAATATGGCACAGGTCAGTAAAGGATCATTTTAGTCTCTTCCTGCTATAAACTGTAAGTTTGGCACTTAGTTGGCCTCTTGCTTTCTTTATCATGGTCTAATTCATCTTGCAGGTCCATTTATAGGGCTTGTTCCAAACAAATCAATCCTATGCATGTCCACTCAGAACTTCCTTAGGGAAGGAATATCACAGCTTCAGCATCACCACAAGGAAGGCCCTGTCTCACATTACCACCAGCCACACTTTAAACAGTGGGTACACACTAAGCCAGGTCTCCAATTAAGATTTCACCATGTGATTAGTTTCATAGGGTGTTCTTTAAGGTATCCTGCGTCTCTAGACCATTTAGGACTTAAAGCATGGGTAGGCAAACTAAGGCCCGGGGGCCGGATCTGGCCCAATCGCCTTCTAAATCCAGCCCGCGGACGGCCCGGGAATCAACATGTTTTTACATGAGTAGAATATGTCCTTTTTTTAAAATGAAATCTGCCAAAATCTATACGTCCAGATTTTTCTGGCAACTGAATCCCCGTTTCTGACAACCGAATCCCAGCCATGTTCGGGGAATTCTGGACATATGGCAACCCTTGTTGTATGCTTTATTTGCCCCGCAGCAGTCAATTCCCCAGCAGACACATTTTTTACCTGTTGCAGTTTCCAGGCTATTCACAAGCAGCCCTAAAGAGAGAGAGCATTCCAATACGCCGGTCTAGAAATGATTAAGGTATTAATTGCTACAGAAAACTGTTAAGGAGCATTCTAAGCTGTAAGTTATATGAGGGACTACCTTTGAAGACTGCTCTCAAACTGCAATTAGCTTCAGGGGCTAGTCATAGAGAAGACATTTCAGTGATGCTTAAAGAGCTACACTAACTCGCAGGCCAATTTCAGACACAATTCCGCGCACCGAGGCTTGCTTTAAAAGCTGTCCGCAACCTTGGAAAGGGATACCTATTTCCAAATTAAATACCTTCAGAAGTCCCCCTCCAAGTATCCCATCATCAGACAGCGACTGGGCCTTCTTGTTTGGGACACCCGAGTTTCCCCTGGAGAATGTAGGCCTGGCACCTTCATTTGTCTTCTTAAAAGGCTTCTTAACTTTATTTCCCCCAGGCCTACTAATTTTACGAGATTTTTATGCTACCATTTTAACATTTGATTGCTTTTGGATTAAGCTGGCGACATTGTCAAATGCATCTTACTGTTGTCTTTAATAAAAAGCTGTGATTTAATTGAAATCTATTTGAGCTAGGTCAGTGGAATAGTAAAGTGCTTTTAACATGTAAGAAGGTTAAATTTGTCCACGATGCATGGAAAAAAATTGGTGTATTTATACCCTCTTGATCCCAGCTTTATACTTTAGAAGAGGCAGGCACTAGCACTCTGTTTCAGGAATGATCTGATCAGTATTCCACACTCCTCTCTTCCTAATAAGCAGACTTGGAAAAACACGTTTCTCTTGTGATCAGTCATCCATATGAAGACTTTAATAAAACAAACAATTTAAGTAAAAAGCCTGATACATTCATGCAGCACTCTCCATAAGCCAATTAGAGAGACTAATTGTGGTAGGCCTCAAAAGTGAGTTAGCAAGTTTATTCTAATGAACAAAGTATAGAGGAGGAATAGAACATGTACTTGCTGCTGGGAAGGCGATCCATTCATGTGGTCTTGAAAGGATGCAAATAGTCTTGTCTGAAAGATAACTTATTTGTTCCTCTATTGGACAGCAAAAGGCATTGCGCAAGTTGGCTGGCATCCCATTTGAAAGGTGCTGAGTCAATTGACTTCCTGGTATGTTGTGTCTGCTGCGGCAAGCTTTAAACAGTGCCCCTGAAAATACCTGTTTTCTTGTGTATTCTTCCCATCTTTTAGCCAGATAACATAGTTAGTAAATTCATGTGGTAGAGTCCTTCCTAGTTTATACAGTGCCAAGTGGGGAAGTATGGTGTGTGTGTGTGTTTTCGTTAACTCCAATTAAAAATCAACAGCAACAACTTCCTTGCATGTGGAAAACTAACACATCAAGTAAAAAAACCTTCTAACTTTTCCTTCATGATTTTTGTTATTTATGTGCAAGAAGCTTCCATCAAAATATTCATAAATGCTATACTGCATCTGCTGCCTAGTTTAGGAATGCCTTTACTAGGTGATTTTGCTTGTTGTGTAAATTATCCTCCCCACCTTCATACTATTTCTGCTACCTCTTCCACATTTATTCTTAACTTATTTTAATTTTGCACTAGAGGGTGTGCAGAAGAAGGGCATGTATATTGCAGGGAGAAGGCTGTCCATAGAGTTTTCCGTTCATAGGGGTTGGTACCCATAACCTGCCAGGGCTGGTGTGCAGGTTTTGCCTACACCATAAAATGACAAAGAGCCTATCTCACCAGCAAGGCCACTATTTTCAATTTGCACAGGACACTTGAAATGGCTGGAAGCAACATGTGAGAATTCTGGGTTCACATGCCTCATGCCTTGCAGTTTAAGGAGTCCCACGGAGAGTGCCCTGAGGAACCAAAGCAGATGGAGGAATGATGGGAGGAGGAGTGATGAGACCTTCTGAAAGTTGTCAGACCTCTGGCAAGAAGGATCTTTACCTTCTCCCAGCAGTCCACTGGGTGAGGAAAGAAAGGGAGAAGTTGGGGAAAAGAGATAGACCAGACCACTTCTGTATTTGACCCCTCCATGCCCCTGCCCACATGCACCCCCTGACAGATTACTGTCAATGGACTGCAGCACCATAGCAGAAAAAAATGTTACCCCTCATTGGTGAAGACAGGATCACAGGTGTGGATCACAGGTATGACTCAGTGTAAGGCAACTTGATATATTTACTGTGCCTACTGAATCCAGCACTTTCTAGGTGTCAACAAAAATGTGCACAGATTGTTCTGTTTCTCATAACAAATTAAATTGTGAAGCACGGCAAGCATAAGTGATTCATGCGACAAATGTGTAGATAAAAAAAATATATTTAAATTATACCAGGCTTTATCATTACTGATTTAACACCGGGTGGGGTGGGGTGGATTGTGATACAAGTTCTTTTAAGGTTGCAACCCTAAATCCACTTACCTGGGAGTAAGTCCCATTCACTTCAACAGGACTTACTTCTGAGTAGACATGGTTGGGATTGCTCTGCTAAGCTTCCAATGTATTTTATTTTCAATCATTTCTTTCCTTGCCTCACAAAGTCATGCATGCATCCCCAAGTATAACTCTTCGGTTGTAGCTAATATTCTGCAACTTGCAGGTGCAGCTATGTCACTTCCAGAGCAAAGACTGGGTTGCAAGGGAGAAACAACCCTAAGCGTGAGGTGTTTTGGAAGTAGATCCTACTAGTTTCAGCCTAAAACGATATGACAGCAAACTTCATTAATTTATTAATATTGTATTTTTACTTCTCAAGAGGCAGGAAGCATTGCTGGGATTTCCTGCCTCAGGTAACAGGAGAGCGTGAGTGGTCTTTGGTAGTAAGTACTGTAGCCAGTAACCGATTGCATGATAAGCAGTGCTTACCTAACCTCCAAACACTTTAGTCACTGCTGCTCACAGGGTGGGGAGAGGCAAGGTGGTGAGGTCAGTGCGGTACAAATACACCAGGTACAAATACACCAGTGGAGTCAATCTGGCACTCTTGCTAGTAAGTTCGCACTGTGATAACCCTCCCTCTGCCGTCCCTGCTCCCTCTTGGGAGCTGTTGGGAGGTCAGCATCTGCTGTTCCACCTTCTGCAGTAAAATATCCAATGCTAACCCTGTTTTACTCAGAAGTAAATCCCACTGAACACAGTGAGACTTACTCCCAGGCCTAAATGTTTTACATAGGATTTACTTTAGAGTAAGCTCTATTTAAACAAATAGAGAAAATAGGTACCTGATATGGTGCTTTGACCACCATGTCAGTGCAGTGTCAACATTATGAACAGGCTTCTAGGATTGTGACCTTCAGTACAGCTACTCATATAACTCTCTGAATAAATAATATCTGCTCAGTCCGTGTGCCACTGTATTTTCATTGGCTGTTGCCAACACCTTTGGTGTTCTTGTTTAACCAAAAGATAGGCCAAAGGTGTGTGGCAAGTATCTTTTTATTCTAGCTGTTGCAGTTCCAAGGCCATCGCTCCAGCTGACAAGACCAAATTTAGAAAAGAATTATTTTTTTAACCTCATCTCTTTCTCTGGAAAAAGGGACAAAGAGCAAGATTTCATTGTCCTGTTATTTGTCTTCCTTTTGCCGCAGCTTCCTAGACCTCAAAGGTTGAATTTTACAGCTGACTGGGTTGTTATAAACTCTAAAGTCATGTAAAGAAATGGAATGTGCACCAACTGTAAGCTATTAACATGCTTATCTGTTGACAAATAATTATGTTTTACTTTTGTCTCACCTGCTAATCTTTACTCTCACTTAGGTTTAAAGGTGAAAGATCACAAGCTCAAGAGATTCAGTTTCAGTTTCAAGATTGATAAAATCTTTTCTCTTGTGCTATTGACCCAATTGCACAATTCCACTAAAACCTATCCACCAGATGTTTTTTAAAGATGCATGGCCAAGAAATGTAAACGAGCAACGCTACAGCCTTGGGATACATAGATGTCATCTCGACCAAGATACAGTACATTTCTGCAGTGCTGTAGATTATGTGAACTACATGAGTGGGGCTCTGAAGTATCTTAAGCAGAATCTGCTGACTGGTAAATGGAACTAACATCATTATCCTGAGTGCATTATTTGACCCATAGATTTCAGTGCTCAGCATGGCAATCTTTCTCAGTTCACATTTGTGAGTATAGGATTCCTAAATGTAAGGATAGCCATAAACCACATCATATGTTTAATTTCAGCAAGCACAACTGATTACTCTAAAAAGCCCTAAAGTTTTTTCTTTGGTCTACAATGTTTTCAGAGCTGTTGTGTAGGGAGTGCTCCATACCTCTGCCCTCCTGCCCGTCCCTCGCTCGCTCGAATGTCAGTTTTGTTCCTGGGGAAGGTTCTGAGAGTCCCTCTGATTGCTGAGAGTCCCTTTCCCTTGCTGCTCTACAAGCAGGCAACAACATTATTTGGGGGGAGTGGGGGAGAAACTAGATAAAAAGAAACAACCACCATCAATTTCCAAGACCAACAAGGAGAGTGCCAAGAGGTCCACAGCAACTCTGAGCACTAGGAGCCACCAACCCATTGATCCCCAGCTCAACTTAATGGTTACTGGAGGCAGGCAGGGTATGTGTGCACACGCAAGGGTGCATTCCCCCTCCCCCCCGGGAAGGTGGGTGGGCTGGATGGGATCTGCCAAGAGAGCCACTTCCCAGCCTCTCTCAACAGCACTCTCCCCACTTTATGCAATTTCACATATATGTACAGAGTTTGGGAACGTAACCCCAGCTTAAGTGCAGGAGATGGGGACGCAGGTATTACAACATTCAGACTGATAACATTTGGCCTCTATGCTTTTGCTTTGGTGCAAACCAACCTTAGCATTGTATTGCCGCTTGCATTTATTAAAAAACTGCATTAAAATGCTTTTTACTTTTAAATGTTACTATGTATTAAAACTTCACTTCACAAACCAACACTGGTTCTGTATGCTCATTTGTTTGGAACGTTAAGCTATCAGAACAATGCTAACCAAATCTGAAGTTTCTGACTTTTCCTCCTCCCTTCCCCTTTTTGCGACAAGTAAGATGAATCATTCACAAGTAGGAGGCCTGACACATGATGAAATCACCAACTGACACTTCAATGACTTTTAATGTTGCTTTGCGTAACACATCGTGGATAAGGATGTTGTGGGATTTTCACTGTTCCACAAGGCAAGGATGATATGAGGTTGCAAGTCTGTGGGTAGTGTTTTGCTTTCCCCACCAAACTGATGAAATGCTTTATCATCGCAGAGGATGTGAGAAATTACCTTGGGGGTAAAGATGACTAGCCCATGGCTATTTTAAAATGAATCACGATTAATAGCACCTCACAAGCACACACGATCAAAACTTTCTGAGAAATAACTTTTTTTTGCTTTTATATTTGGGAATCTTGAGGAAAGGGAGAGCTGTAGCTACTTCAAAAGCCAGGTTTTCATTATGGATCTTATAAATTAACATTATAAGCTTTGTATGTCACACATGGCATACCATTTCATATTCTGTTGTAAAGCAAACACATGGAAGTGATCCTAATGGTGACTGTAGACAGTAGCACTGCCAAGAATTGTTTAGGGGTCATGGGAGGTGAAATGTTCCTCAGTAATGAATGGCCTGTTGTCAAGGCCCAGAGGCAAGTGGTGCGGTCAGGTTCTGCAAACAAGGATCAAGGGGTCAGAAGCAGAAGCAGTGGCTTAAGATGGTCTGGGGGTCAGATTCTGGAGCAGGTGAGATGAGTATATATAGTAGCCCAGCCTCTGGTCATCTGGACAGACAAAGCATAGAACCATCACTGACCATAAGAACAGTGGTGGTAGTGCAGCACAGCTGAGATTGGGATAACCTTTCAGATGTTGTTAACTACAACTCCCATCATTTGTGACTTGGGCATGCTAGCTGGGGCTGATGGGAGCTGAAATCCAACAACATGGAGGGCATCATGTTGGCTTATGCTGAGCTAAAAAGTCACTGCTAGAACAGTGCCCTGGTGGCACATTGAGGGTTTGTTTTTTATTGATTTTATGGCAAAACAAACTGTATTACGCAAAGAAAAAGACTGGAGAAACAGAAACAGTAAGGAACCATAGGGACAATGGATTGTACAAATTAGATACTGTATCCATCATACACATGGAATAATTTTTACCAAAAATATGGACATTGTTGATGCCCAAACTTTGCAGTCCAGTGTTTTCCATGTTTATTATGAAATTTATATCTCAACTTTACAGGCATATCCTAACTTAAGGTGGCTCACAATAAGCTAAAAATAAATACAGTGGTACCTCGGGTTACATACGCTTCAGGTTACAGACTCCGCTAACCCAGAAATATTACCTCGGGTTAAGAACTTTGCTTCAGGATGAGAACAGAAATCGTGCTCCGACAGCGCGGCAGCAGCAGGAGGCCCCATTAGTTAAAGTGGTGCTTCAGGTTAAGAACAGTTTCAGGTTAAGAACGGATCTCCGGAATGAATTAAGTACTTAACCCTGTATAAGTACCCTGTATAAGTATAAGTACTTAACACTGTATAAGAAATACAATTTTGAATGCAACCGAAACAACAATAAAAATAGCAGAAGCTACTGACTTTTTAAGTAGCTGTTTCCTTTCACTTGTGATCATGGCATTCCTGAATCAGCCCTTTAATCATTATTGCAGCCAGGCCAATTCCTTGTTAGTTTCTAAATTTTATTTGTTATTATTGTAGTTCCACAAATGCAATCATTATTTAAAAAAAACCAAATAGTTGCTTTGGCTGTAAAGAGGAAGTGAGTAATTAAAGCTGTACACAGACCCCAGCAAGGAACAGGAATTGACTAATTACAAGTCTGATTTAAGTAAGAGAAGGAAGCAACTACCGTAATTAAAGGACTGGTAGCCAAGGTAAGTGGGACTTTTGCTGAATGAGACTTTCTTCCATGCAAAGTAATATTAGGGTGAGATTTTGCCTGTATAGGGATGGGCAATACTAGCTCCAGTAATTGGGAAGTTGTATGAAACCTTTGGATTGGTCAAGCCTGGAATAATACTGGAAGATTTGCATTCTGATTTGGCTTTAGACCAGTACCTTTTACTTGCTGTGCTCTAGGTGGTAAGCCAATATTAGCCTCGGGAGCCCTGAACTAGCAAACATACCTTCAATGAATGCATTTGAGTACTACAATGCCACCCACTGTAGACTCGACCTGGGGGTTATATTTCCAGTGTACTATAACACAGTACCCTTTTTTGCACTGTAGTACATTTTTCATCTCAGGAATACAACCTTATTTCAGTAAGGTTAAGACAAAGATGGGACACCAGATATTTAACAAAAGTTGTCAGAGTGCCTTTAGCTCCTTTCTTTGTCCTTTTCCTCCAATGAATCTTTCTTCCAGTTCAAAACACACCATTAGGCCATTTCAGCTTCCATCAGGCATCTGAACCCCTAGTAACCAGTGCTATTTTTCTAGAAAAAGGCTCTGGAAGTCACCACAAACTTGAGCATGGTTGGTGTGAATACCATGCTCCTCCTTTCCATTGATACCAGTGGGCTCCCAGTGGATATTGATGAAATGGCCCCTCTGCCACAACAAGGAGCAAAGGGGAAGCATAATCTCCCGATAAGCAGCTTCTGTGTAGCACAACTCTTGGAGCATAATAATTGAAAATGTAATTTACTTATGCTGATTGGCACCGTTTCATGCAGCAATTTAATTTGTCATAGGGAAGATGTTTAACAGTTATAATGAAACAATTATAGTTCAAAAGGAAAGCTGTCAGTCTTTGTGGCCTCCCCTCTCCTCCCCCATGATGCCTGACAGGCCCAGAAGATCCTCTTCTTTCACAGGGACCATAGGAGGGTCATGACACTTTGGGCATCTGGCCAGCCAGGGCTGATCTCATAAGCTGCCACTGCCCTGGTTGTTATTAGGGCTGCGTGCATGATTCCTAATTCAATTCTGTTGTGTCCTCATTTTACCTAACTGAAAGCTAAGCTGGGATCCATCTGGTAGTGAACTGCACTGATGGACATTGGCTACGGTGTGCTCAGTTAGCCTCTCATTTATTAATATTGAGGCTTCTCTTGAGTTGAAATAAAGGTATTCGCTTCATTAAATAAATCATGAGTAAAGTCTTCTTGAGGCTAGCCAAATTGATATAATAAAGGTCTCTTCAACCACCCCTGGGGAGGAATCTGCACCTGGTGAGGAAAAAAAGAGATGCAGGTATATTTCTTCTGCCACTTGCCAGGGCAAGATTCAGCTATGAATCTTAATGGGTAGTTTGGGGCATTGACATCACTGTATCTCAACCTATTTTACTGGATTTCTGTGAAAAGTAAGAAGAATTATGAAGGGCTTTTCTACACTGAAAAGGGATGGAGAAATGATAACAGTGGGATTGACTCTTATCTGATCATAAGCCTCCTCTGTGTTTTTGTACCCAGAGGCTTATGCAGTTTGTTTTATTGGGGCCTCTGTACTGATGTAATTTGGTTTCCACCCAACTCCTAAATTCTCTTCCAACTGTAAAATTATTTTTATGTGTCTACATCCTAACTTGGGGGTGACTAGGGCTGAATTTCTGTTTGTCAGTGTTGTATTTTGAAACACAGCAAGTTAGCAGGAACAGTAGTTGAGGTGTGCAGATTAGGTGTTTGAAACCCTTTTTGTACCAAACACAGATTTAGTTTTCAGAAAGTCAGTGCCCTGTTACAGTTCGCTTACTGCAATTGTCTTATGATGCTGCAGATAAGATGTGAGACAATATATGCAAGGATTCTGCTTCAACTCTTGCGGGAGCCCTGCAAAATCTCGCTGGAAGCCGCTGCTGCAGCCACTTTTCTTTTCGAGTGGTAGCATGGCAGCGCCCATGGTGCGACCAGAGTAGTAAGGAGAAGCAGCAGTGGCTTCCGTCAAAATCTTGCAAGGCCTCACCGGAACCCAGAAGCTGCCACTTCTCGCTTCTCCAGCGGGGGCAGGCAGGATGCCCTCGGTGGCTGCCTCAGTCCACCTCATGGATAGGCCAACCCTGCTAGAAGCAGTTTCTATTTGGAGGTAAATCTTGGTCAATGACCTTGAATAATAAATAAGATAAACTCCTCTGCTGCAAGTTAATGTCCTTAAGATTTTATACCGGGAGATTCCAACCCACCCACCCACATTTTTGCTGTGTTGACCTTCTCCCTGACTCACAATAAAACAAGACAATGGCTTATTAAAATTGATATGATTCTTGTAAACGAACCATTTGTGCCTAGGGCACTGTAAGGTGGGCGGGAGGGGAAAAGAAATACATTCTTAAATCTTCTTGCACACAATATGTAGGGAGCTACAGATTGCAAACATGAAGTGGCTCGTTGACTTGTTAACCTTATTGCTTCGCTCTTTTATTTTTGATCACTCAGACTAGCTATTGAGAAAACATTGTTTTATTAGCTTAATGAGAGTGATTGTAAACAAGACATTGCTTGGACACTGGCTAGATTTCAAAGGCATAAAGGTGGCACACATTTAAAATACCGTAATCTTTCTAGGACTGTTAACTTTTTACAGGGTTTTGATGCTTCAACTTTTTTGTTTTAACTTAGAAGGTACTGTACTTTATCTCAGCCTTTGTTAACCTGGTGCTGTCATCAGCCTCAGCTACTTTAGCCACATAGAAGAGGAAGAAGAAGAGTTTGGATTTGATATCCCGCCTTTCACTCCCTTTAACGAGTCTCAAAGCGGCTAACATTCTCCTTTCCCTTCCTCCCCCACAACAAACACTCTGTGAGGTGAGTGGGGCTGAGAGACTTCAAAGAAGTGTGACTGGCCCAAGGTCACCCAGCAGCTGCAGGTGGCGGAGCGGAGGCGCGAACCCGGTTCCCCACTACCGCTCTTAACCACTACACCACATCGGCTAGAGCAGATGGATTGACCATGGAAAACAGTTTCCTTTACT